TTAATAAATTTTTTTATATGGTTAAATATATACAAAATTTAGATATAATTAAAGAATATTTGAAAATGAGAAATAGAGAAATTAATAGTAAAAATTAGAATTAGATATCCTATTTTAATTAAAAGAAGTGTATTAATTAAAAATTAAATGTTAAATATTAAATTTAAATAATTTGGTGATATTTTAAAAAGTTAGAGGAATTTGTTTTTATTTAATAAATGATAAAATAAAATTTATTCCGTATTGCCTAAGATACTAAGATATGAAATCCTTAATTTTGCTTTATGCACTGCGTCAGTGTGTTATTGTATTGACGCACGATACGATTTTCCCGACACTCGTAAAAATGTAATCCGCACAGCGATGCTGCGTAAAAACTGATAATCCATTTAGTGGCTCTCTCTATCGGCACGCTCACGAGCATCAAGGCCGTCTAGATAATCTAGTAAACGTCGTTAATTTCTAATTGCATTGATCTTCGGCTTTGAAACCGTTTCCTCGCGTAAACGATGGCCTCGACGAAGCTTCGCAAGGTTATCCGTGCGTACGTTTTTCCGTTTCCAAAACTCTGGATAACCGAGATCGACATCGACATGCACGTTACAGACGTAAATAAAGATAAAATTATCACTTATTTTTTTTCGCAGTACTATAGTGAAAGAAATATTTCTTCTATCATATGCGCAGCATATCTCATCTTTGAAATGAGCGAATTCTATTATTAATTAAATAAGGTTCATCGATAAGGCATAAGATCGAGACATCTGCAACTATTACATTTTATCATTTCATAAAATAAAATTTCTCATTTTTTTAGATAAGGAATTGTTTTATTGGTATTGATAGAAATTGCAGATGTTTATTTATGTGTGTTTACAATAATTTTTTAAATCAAGCATTTCCTTCAATTCTTTCTATTTATTATCGCATGTTTTATATGAAAGAAGATGCTGTCAGTTATTTTTAATTAAAGTTTCTATTTTTAAAACAATTTATGTCATTAGCGCTATTTATCCGTCGCAAAAGGTCTTTGATGAAGATGAGTAATGCATGAGAGACGTGTATGATTCATGGAAACAGACGTATTATCGCAGACGTATTATGACTACAAAGCAAATATTAAAGCTGTATTAAATTTAAAGTCCGTTAAAACTTTAAAGAATGAAATTTTTATGAAAAAAAAAATTTTTAAAGAATTTTTACGAAACTTTTTACTTTATAAACATATTTAAACAAAATTTCAATTTATCAAATTGTTTAACGGCCAAAAATTAACTCGTAGACTTTGTATTTCAGAATCGAAATAAATTATAAGGTCTCGCGAAGTTAGATATTTGTACGCACCTGGCAACATTTTATCTACTTGACGTCGTCCGTCGACAGAGCGCAGTGTAGTCGTATGTCAGCAACTGAACATGGCGGGTGTGTTGTTCGAAGATATTTTCAACGTGAAGGACATTGATCCGGAGGGCAAGAAATTCGACAGGGGTGAGTTCATATCAGAGTTTACATTTCAGCGCGTTCGCGTTTCGACTTGCCGTGGCGATGCGCCCGCTATTTTCATTGCCAGAATAATAGCGTTTGACGAGTTGCTCGATCTTGCCGATAGCGCCGGCATCATCATGAGCACATGGTGTAAGTAACAGCTGAGAGCTTTCGATCTCGTCTCGAAATCCTTAAATAAATTTTATCCGTTTTATTTACTGCAGTACGACTGATGTGAGCCGATGGCTACAACGTCGATCGAGAAAAAGGACAATCTCGTGCACACCAGTGACACTGATTCCGCTCGTTGATCGGCACATATGATATGAATCAATGTGAACCGGCACGAGCGTATCAATGGCGGGTTATTCGAATGTAGATAGATGTACACTGAGAGAAAAATATACTAAATTTTAATAAATATTTATTTCGAATATAGTGCCAATTGAATATTTATTAAATGTAAATATATACTAAATGTAAAATACACACATTGAGAATGACTATTGCAAGTCAACTATCGATAGTTTTTATTATCGATCGTTTTTCGATAATCACAAAAACCAATCGATCAAGAACTATCGATTATTTTAAAAGCGCATGAAATTTGAAGCCGGCTGAAAAGAATTTGTGTTATTGTTAGATATTTCAAAATATATAATATACTAGAATTCGATTTTAAATTAATTTTTTAATTATTAATTAAATTATTTGAATTAAAGGCTATGGCACACAAAAAACTTAAGACAGTAAGGAATTTAAGCAGTAAGGAAATCGATATATTATGCATGGTCTAATAGGCAGTAACAGTAGTTGATTAAGGAGGATTTAGGCGTAGAAATCGACCAATTATAGTTGATTATTTTTCTGACATTCAACTGCTGCTTCATTCCACTGCTGCTACTGTTCATTGTAGAATGGGCTTTAGATTGGCTACTGCTTACGTTATGGCCTTACGATTCTATTGTGATTGATCAATTCGCTTACTGCTTACGTTTCACTGCTTAAGTTTTTTTTTGTGCCATTTGTGCCCTAAATAGAAAATTATTTTATTAAATAAAACAATAAAATTAATAACGAAAGTTATTAAATAATTCTGTTGACATTCCTAATTTTGTTGACGCCCAAGATAAATATTGATATTGCTTTAAAAGGAAATTAACAAAAGGGATGTAAATAAAAGAAATATATTAATTTTTTAAGTTTATTTATCACATGCATGTATCACATTTTACATTTTCATTTATGAATTTATTTTTATTTGAAATATGTATTACATGAATTTTAACTATTACTTAATTTTATTACAAAAACATAAACTTTATCCTAATGTATAACAACAAAATAATATTCTTTTTTTAGATATTAATTAATTATACCGTTATATTTCAACCAATATTAATAATACCGTTATAATTTGATATTTAGACCATTTGTTTTATGAGAAGTAAACGTTTTATGAAAAATAATTTTTTAGTTTTAACGAACATCGATTATTTGACATAACTTGCCCTGCATCTGAGAAGACACGATCTGAAGATACAGACGTAGCCTTCGCATAGACTGAAAAAATAATCAAAACAGTGTTCGAAAATATTATCGATGGTTGGAAAAATAATCGATGACGTTCAATGGTAAAAACTTTTATTGACTAATAGTCGATAGTCTATCGATAGTTAGACAGATATGAACCTGGCGCTCAATTTTATCAAAAATAAAAATTAATACCGTAGGTCGTTTGTACTTGTTTGTACCGATCATTATTTCGTTTGTACCTTAAACAATTAAACAAAAAATGAAAAATAAAAAATGGCATCTCTCCTTTTGCCGTATATACGCTATATAAGGATCGCACAAAACTGAAACGCGTTGTATTTTCGAACCTTTTTAGGTACAAACAAAAGTAGGAGAGATACAAATGGATACAAATGATTCTCTTTTGAAAGTTGTTGATCCCATTTTATCTTTAAAGATGGCTGACTTGCCCTTTTGGCGCATTTCCGAAATTTTGAAATCGCTGTATCTCCGAACCCTTTAAGATACAAACCAAAGTAGGAGAAGTACAAACGAGTACAAACGATTCTCTTTCGAATGACATAAATGAAATTAAAAAATCTTAAAGTTGCGCGCTGGTCATTTTTTATTTTTCATTTTTTGTTTAATTGTTTGAGGTACAAACAAAATAATGATTGGTACAAACAAATAAAAACGAAGTACAAACGGCTTACGGTATTAATTTTTATTTTTGATAAAGTTGAGCGTCAGGTTCACATTGGTATTAGACAGCACTATTATTGTTTAATTTCTTTGCATGTGATTTCGCTTTTTACTAATATTCCACTGAACTTGGACATCAAGAATATCGAGAAAATGGAATTATATCTTCAAATATTGCAATGTTCCTAAATTATGGATTTTTATTAGCAGTTTAGTTTTTCTCTACTTTTTTTGTATTTGATGATCAAATTTACAAGCAGAACTTTGGGACACTTACTCCTCATTGTCGCCTGTCATCGCTGATATAGTAATGGTTAACTTCCAAGAAAGTATACTTGATAACATTGATTTTCCGATTAAGTTTTTTTATAGTTCGTTGATGATATTGTGGCAGCGATTCCTGTTACACAAATCGATAATTTAAAAAAAAATATTTAATTCTGTCTAAGATTACAGTTTACAATTGAGGTAAGGCGGGTAACAAAATTAATTTTTTTGACAATTATTTTAATTCAGTACAAAAAATTAATATTTTACTGGGATCAAAAACCGACTTCTTTAAGTACCTAAATTTTTTATCCAGACATCCTCTTTCACAGAAAAAAGGCGTGATCATAGGCATGGTTGATAAGGTGTTTTTCTGTTCTGATCCGAAATTTTATAAAAAAAATTTTTAATTTATTAGTATTTTATTAAATAATGATTATCCTCTGCGTGTGTGGATTTTTATTTTTAATACGACGTCTTAGAAAATAAAATATCTTATAAAAAATGGTAACATGATTAAAAAGAATTTGGCATCTTACAAAAAAATTATATGATTTACAATCCCCTATGTTAACAATATTTTAGATGAATTTAAAAGGATTATAAATAATACGGTATCCAAAATTGCATTTTACAGTATCAATAAATTTCGTAGTTTAATCAAGGTAAAGATCCATTACCAACCAGTTCACAGAGAAACGTGGTCTATAAGATTGCCTGCAAAGAACTGCGAGATTTCTTATATAAGACAAACGG